TTACCCTCTGAATCAACTCCTTCTCTCAAACTCCCTGTCCCAGCCATGGCATCACTGTCCTCTTCCTGTCCCGGTACAAAGCCTGGGAATGATTTTATTCTCTTCATTAACCCTCTCCCTCATGTCCAATCAGTCCTCCAGGGATGCACAGTTTAACTCCTAAATAGCTCTTGAATCTGTCTTCACCATCATCTCCATTCCATTCAACCGATATTCCCTGACAGCCTGCTCTGTCCCCGGCCCTCTGCTGGGCCCAAAGATACTTGCCCCCAAGGAACTCCCGGACTGGTCAGATACACCCGTAAACACATAATTCCCCTCCAGCAAATGAGTGTGATGGTAATAAAAGCCCACTTTACTGCACACTCAATCACTTCTACACTGTTCTAAGTGCTTTAAACACATTAAATCATTTAATCATCACAACAACCTTAAGAGGTAGGTACTATTACTATCTTTATAGATAAGGAAATCTAGGCAACAGAGTGAGTAAGCAACTTGCCCAAGGTCACACAGCTAGTCGGCAGTTGAGGCAGGATGCAATGGCTTCAAAGCCAGCTAGAAATCCACTGCTGTCAACCCTCGCTGAACTCTGCTTCTGCTTAAGGACCCAGAAGAAGGCTTCAGGGCACCAGAGGAGGAGCTTCTAGGGAGGCTGGAGGTCCACTGAGCTGCTGACTGTGCTGAGCCTTCAAATGAGAGTAGAGGTGAGTTAGCCAGATCGATCCTCCCTACTCCCACTGCCACTCCCAGCGCAGGCCCTCACCTCCACCCACTTCTCCGTTAGTCCTCTCTTCCCATCTGCACCAGTGAACTTTCTAATGAAATCCAATCAGGCTCATAGTGAACAAACTAGTGGTTACCAACGGGGAGCGGGAAGTGGGGAGGGGCAAGATAGGAGCTGGAGGGTGAGGTAGAAACTACCATGTATAAAATAAAGAAGCTACAAGGCTATATTGTACAGCACAGAGAAAAGGGCCACTATTTTATTGTAACTATAAATGGAGTATAACCTTTAAAAATTGTGAATCTCTAATGTATAAAATATTCTCAATCAACTATACCTCAATTAAAAAAAAATCCAACCATCTTAGCACTCTTCTGCTTTCGTTTTAGAATGTCTTTCCCTCGTCTGCAGGAGAGTCTGAACTCCTCTGCAGAACCCCAGCCTCACTCTCAGCTTTGCTCCGCCCCCACCTGGCCCGAACCACCCTGAAGCAGTTGGTTGTGGTCCTCTGTGCGCACCAGGCTCACCTCTGCCTCTGTCGTGTCAGGTGTCAGATCCCACTCCCGCAGCAGCGATAGACCTTTCCACACTCAGCTCCTTTCCAGGATGCCTCCCTGGATCGCACAGGCAACGTGAAGTCCTGTCGAGAGCATGCTCAACACACTCCGGACACCCTTATTTTAGCTTCTCCCCTTGAATGGGAGTGGCTGACTTCTGATTCTGTCTCCTTCATTACATAGTGAGCCCCTTGAGGAGTATTAGGTCCTCCTCACAGGGTCTGACACCTCGTGAACTCTTGGAATGCATGAATGAGTGAGTAAATGAATGAATGAGCATTGAGAACAAGGACAACTTTTATGTCTTCTTATCTCTTGGAGCTCATAGCAGAGTGCTGAGGGCATGGGCATTTCCAGTTAAACACTGATGCTCCTCTTACCCCTCTATGGGGGACAGTTAGAGCTATGAAAGGGCGATGCCATCCACGAGGTCAGAAACACATCACGGACAAGCACTGGACAAGTTGTTAGGAGATCTGGGATTGCTGTCTGGGCCCTTTCACCAGTTAGCTCTGTGGCCTGGGGTAAGACATTAATGTTTCTGAGCCTCCATTTCCTCAGCTATCACACTGTTGTGAAAAGTCCAAGAGGCCATGGATGTTGCAGAACTTGGTGAAGCGCTGGACCAGCCAGTGGGGGTCAAAGGCACGAGTCCTCCAGCTAATCTCCCAGTATCAGTCTGAGTTGGGTTTACCCAGTGCTACTGCAGGTCGTGGGGCAAACCTTTCCCACCCTTTCTTCTCCTCTTGGTCTGAGTCCAGGAAGATTTCCATCTGTACCTTGTCTGCCTGCCAGACTCTGTACCTAGAGTTTGGAAAAACAGGCAAATTATATTCGTCCAGGTGTATCCTGTCTATATACCGAGCTGTGAGGCCAAGTTTGTCCTTAGAATAAAGTGAGTGTGTGCGCATGTGCTTTCACTAGCCGGGCAAAGTTCAGGGTAATAAAGGCACCTGTGGAGTGGAGTTGAGATCTCTGAACTTGGCATCAGAATATTCGGGTGTTAATTCCCACCATTGTCACTTCTGCACTGGACGACTTTGGTTATATTCTTAACCTTTCGTAGCCTCCCTCCCTCATCTCTAATATGAAGGTGATACATTTGCCACAGATTCATTGTAAAGCTTAAATGATATAAGGAATGTAAGGCAGCTAGCATAGAACTTGAAGTGTGGTATGTACAACACTGATGTTTGCTTGTTGATTCTTATTTGTACTGATAACAATGTCTAACATTTTCTAAGTGATTTCTATGTATCAGGCTTTATGCTAAGCTCTTCGTATGCAGTATATGGCTTACATCTCATCGCAGCTTTAAAAGATAGGTATTATTATCCTGCCTTAAAGACTAGGAAACTGAGATTTTAACAGGTTAAGCAGCTATGCCAAGGCCCCACTGGAGCTGGTAACTAAGAGAGCCAGGGCTCAGATGCATGTCTCTATATCCTAAACTGATGCATTTGTGACTTCTAATGCAAACATGTCTGAGTCAACATTTTTCTACTAAGAAATTATACTAAATACACAAGAATAGGGAAAACAAGCTGAAATCTCAAGTAATTGAAATATAAGCTTAATTACATAAGTATCTCTGCAAACATATACACTAAGATAGATAATGTTATTGACTGAAATTGGTTTGTTCAGAAGAAGAGGAAGACAAGCACACTGTGTCTTCACTTAGAGTAATGAACTAATAGATACTGTCCAAAAAAATAGAGAGAACAAAAGATGTCATATGAAGATATAATTAAAGCGGTGACCACTAGAACATAAATACAAACCATCCTAAATAGAAGGAAAACTATGCAAAAATAACAAATCAAAACAGTTTATATAGTGAATGACATAAATACGTAGACAAATAGTAAATAAAAGCTAACAATTAACTTCTGATTCCAGCCCAGATGGATAAGAGGGGCTGAATTTACTCTCCCACCCAGAAACAACCAAGATCAGACAAAATATATGACACAATGTTTTTCAAGGCTGTAGACACCTGGAAGAGAAGAACAGTGATTGCTGAAAGACAGGAAACACGTAAGGTGAGCCCTACACTGCCCTAGTTTACTATCTTGAGAGAGTTTCTAGTCACTGGCATGAGGAAGGAATCCAGGCAGAGCCTAGAAGACTCCCCAAGTTGAGGAGATGAAGCTGAAAGTTAGGAGAGACCAAGGCAGATAGAATTCACAGGACAGAGTATTGGAGAAGGAAGACCCAAAAAGAGGAGACTTTGAAGATCTGCACAGGGTTTTGGTCAGCACACATGTGAGGAAGTTACCTGAGACCGGGAAAAGAACCCTCCAAAAGGATTAGCACCTTTGCATCGGTGACTAACTCATGAGTTAAAGAGGAAATCAAAGGGGAATTGTAAAGTATTTGGAACTTAATGAAAATAAAAATACTATATATTAAAACTTGTCGAATGCTGCTAAACCAGTACTTACCAGAAAATTTATAGCACTAAATGCTTATATTAGTAAAGAAGAAAGATCTCAAATCAATGACTTCAACTTTTGCCATAAGAAACTGGAAACAGAAGAGCAAATCAAACCCAGAATGAGCAGAAGAAAGGAAATGATAAAGATCAGAGCAGCAACTACGGAACAGAGAACAATAAGCAGAGGAGAAAATCAATAGAAACAAAAGCTAGTTCTTCAAGGAAATCAATAAAGAACAAAACTTTAGTTGGAATAATCAGGAAAAAAAAAGAAAGCATACATTTTCTATATCAAGAATAAGAGGTGACATCATCACAGACATTAAAAGGATCATTAGGGAATACTAGGAACAACTCTATGCCAATAAATTTGAAAACTTAGTTGAAATGGACAAATTCCTTGCAAGACACAAACTGGCAAATGTCATTTAAGAAATAGAAAACCTGAACTTCCCTATATCAAAGAAATTAAGTTTGTAGTTGAAAACTTTCCCACATTTGTGGATTCAACCAACCCCGCATCATGCAGTACTGTAGCAAACGTTTATTGTGAAAAATCCCCATGTAAGTGGACGCACACAGTTCAAACTGATGTTGATCAAGGGTTCGCTGTATATAAATAACTCTCAAAACTCAATAATAAGAATACAACTCAAAAGATTTGAACAGACACTTCACCAAAGAAAAGGTATGGGTGGCAAATAAGCGTACGAAATAAGCTCAACGTCATTAGGGAAGCACAAATTCAAATCATAATTAAGTACCACCACGTGTGTACTAGAATAAGGAAAGTCGGAAAGACTGACCATTTCAAATGCAGGCAAAGGCAAGGAACAACCAGGACTCCCATACACTGATAGTAGGAACACAAAATGCTACAACTACCTTGGAAAATAGTTTGGAAGTGTCTTCAGTTGTTGAACGTGCACCTACCTTGTTGTTCCACTTCTAGGTATTACCTAAGAGAAGAACTATTAATTTAGACAGAGAATTTTTTAAAACATTAGTATGAGTACCACAGCTTTATTTGTAATAGCTAAAAACTGGGAACAATACAAATGTCCCTCAACAGGAGACCGGGTGAAATCAATTGCGGTATATTTACACAATACAATACAATACTACTCGGCAATAAACAGGAGTGAAGTATTATACACGCGGCAACAAGGAAGAATCTTAAAATTACGCTGTATGGCAGGTGAGAATTCTACCACTGAACCACCCATGCTAAAATTATGCTGTATGAATAGAAGCCAGACAAAAAACAGTATAGATTGTATGATTTAATTGATAGGAAAATCTAGAAAATGCAAAATCTATACAGTGATCGAATGCAGATCTGGGGTGGTTGCTGGGGGTGTGAGTGGGAAGTGGAGTAGGATGGGAGGGAGAGACTGCAAAGAGCAAGAGGAAAATTTGGCCATGATGAATATGTATACTATTTAGATTGTAGTGATGGTGGCATGGGTATATATACATGTCAAAACTTATCAAAGTGTACATTTTGAAAATAATCACTTTATCATATGAATATTACACTTCAATAAAGTTGGCACAAAAAGCACAGTACTTTAAAAATAGAATGTATATAAAGCTGGGAATATAGCATAAAATTAGATGACAAAAATAAGAACCAAACACCTCTCTTTTATTGATAAGTATAAATGGATTTTAACTCATTTACTAAAAGAAAAGACTATCAGACCGAATCACAAGGCAAAACCCAAAATAACCCAGAAAGGTTAAAAAGAGGGAAATAGGCAAATACAAACAGAAAGAAAGCTGAGATTGCCATTTCATATGAGAAAACATTGAACTCAGGTTAAAGAAAGTGCTAAACCAAACAAAGAAGGTATCTTACAATGATAAAAGGGTGAAATTTACAATGGGGCCACAAGAATTTTGAAAATCAGTGCTCCAAATTACACAGAAGCAATAGTCATAAAGCAAAAATTATAAGAGATGTAAGAAGACATTTAGAACAATAAAATCATGATCTTGAAAGGTAATTTTTCCTTTCACGTAGATTAACTGAATGGATAAATAAACAAATAAATATAATGAATATCTAAAAAGCAGATTTAAAGCAAATCTAATTGATATATAGTTGTCTCTCAGTACCCTTAGGGAATTGATTCCAGGACCCCCGTGGATACCAAAATCTGCAGATACTCAAATTCCTTCTATAAAATGATGTAGTATGCACATATAATCTATAAACATCCTCCCATATACTTTGAATTATCTCTAGACTATGTACAATACCTAATATAGTGAAAATAATGTGTAAATAGTTGTAAATACAATGTAAATGCTATGTTAAATAGTTGCTGGAATGTAGCAAATTCAAGTTTTTCTTTTAAGAACTTTCTGTCTCCTCTCAACTCCCAATCCCAAATATTTTTTATCTGTGGTTGATTGAATTTGTGGATGCAGAATCCATGTATGTGGAGAGCCAAATGTATTTCAAACTATGTACTATAAAAATGGAGACTACATCTTACATTTTTTCAAATCCCATTTTATACTCACAAAAATTTATCATATAATAGGTGCCCAAATTAAAAAATTCCAAAATGCAGAAACACAGCAATAGTCTCTTCTTAAAAGCAACAAAAAAAGACATTATAATGAAATTTAAATACAAATTTAGAGATTTATGTATTTCAGTTCAATAATTTTTAATTTACACAGAACTTTTTAAGCAATATTAATGAAAATATGATGTATTAAAACCAAGGGATACTGCAAAAGCAATTTCAGAGGGAAATTTAGACCTCAATATTCATATCAATTAAAAAGTGCAGGAACCAATGGGCCTAATATATGTCAAAAATTTGGAAAAAAAGAATAGCCAAATAAATTGTTGGAAGACAGAAGGAATAAATTAACAGAGAAAAATGTTTAAATGTTAGAAAATTGAAATATCAGAATACATACATACATACAAACACTGGTTCTTTTTAAAAAGCTAATACAGTATAATACATGAAATATTAAGTCACCTAATCATTGGAAAGCTGTGTGGAGGGGAGTTGTGGAGAAACGTCAATAACTAAAAATTAGAAACATGAGCATAAAACCAAGAAACAATAAATTAAATAAATATATGACTCTTCTTTGAAAAAAATTTCTAAAAATCTGAATGAGATAGTATTTGAGGAGAATGTAATATACCAAATCAGAGTCTAAAAGATACAGAGAATCTAAACAGACTGATTTGTAGAAAATTAAGTAATCAACGGTGTACTCTCTTCCCAAATTTCATGCCTAAAGAGTTTCACCAGAAAAATCCTACAGAACCTTTAAAAGCAAATAATGAAGTTCTATTTAAATTGTGTCAGGCTGTAAAATAAAAAGAAAA